CTTACTAGAATTGTGTAGAAGCTCCCCGGTGTGCAAAATACTAGTGGCATAGGTTTATGTGACCTTGCTCCTATAATTGTATAGGTGAGCTCTAGCTAGCTTGGCACCTTTGTTGCTTAATTAGGATCTTTGCAATGTGTTAGAGAACATAGATAGAGGGGTGTAGTCTTGGCTAGATCGATAATTTTAATTCCGCACTTGTTTCGGTTAGCCGGCGCGATTAAGTTATAGAAAGGACTATTCACCCCCCTCTAGTCTGACATCTCGACCTTACAACATGTTCGCTACCCAGTCGCGTGCATGCGTGATTAACACACGCATGGCGCTTGCTACGACCCAGAAAGGGACCTCAACGGTGGCTGAGTACTTTACTCGGATGAAGGCCCTCGCGGATGAGATGGCATCTGCGGGGAAGAAGCTCGACAACGAGGAGATTGCCTCATATATACTAGCGGGTCTTGACATTGACTTCAACTTGCTGGCATCTGCTATTGCTACAAGGGTTGATCCCATTACCCTAGGGGAACTCTTCACCCAAATGACAAGCTTTGAGCAGCACATGGATCTACTCCATGGCTCGGGCTCTGGCTCTGGCTCTTATACAAACATGGCCTCACGTGGAGGAGGCCGTGGTGGAGGCAATGGTGGCCGTGGTCATGGTCGTGGGGGCTTTAACGCTCCTGGTGGCCGTGGTCGTGGGTGCCCGAGAGGCCATGGCTCCAACTTTGAGGCTGGCGTCTTCTGCCAGATCTATGGCAGGGAGGGACACCCTGCTGTCCACTGCTTCAAACACTTTGATGCGACCTTCACCAGCGCCTAGGAGAAGAACAAGTCAGCCTCCACTGCAATGACCTCGTACGTCGTGGATACCAGTTGGTATGTCGACACTAGGGCGACTGACCACATCACCAGTGAGTTGGAGAAACTCACGGTGAGGGATAAGTACCATGGCAATGAGCAGGTGCACACAGCTAGTGGTTCAGGTATGAAAATTAGCCATGTTGGTCGTGGTTTGTTTCATACCCATGATCGCAATCTTATTCTTGATAAAGTTTTGCATGTTCCACAAGTAGATAAAAACTTAGCATCTGTTCACCGTCTTGCTGCTGATAATCATGTCTATCTTGAATTCTATCCTGACCATTTTCTTATCAAGGAACGGGCCACGAAGAAGGTCCTGCATCAAGGCCGATGTGAAGGCGGCCTATCCCCCTTGGTGTCTAGTTCCACATCAAATAAAGCCGTCCACTCCACCGTCATGGTTTCAGAGTCCCGATGGCATGCACGCCTTGGTCATCCGTCATCGTCCGTCGTTCAGCAGATTCTCCAAAAACATCGTTTAGTGTTTGTTCCTGAGTCGAATAAAGGGATTGTCTGTGACGCTTGCCAACAAGGCAAGAGTCACCAATTGCCATACCCCAAGTCGTCAAGTGTATCTAGTCCTCTAGAGTTAATCTTTTATGATGTTTGGGGGCCAGCTCCCGTGTCTCTTGACAGAAACAATTTCTATGTCAGTTTTATCGATGATGTTAGTAAATTTACCTGGGTGTATCTGCTAAAACATAAATCTGAAGTGTTTAAGTGTTTCCCTAAATTTCAAAACATGGTAGAGTGCCTCTTTGATAAGAAAATCCTTGCTGTGCAAACAGATTGGGGAGGGGAGTATCAAAAACTTAATACCTTTTTTCAGCGTGTTGGTATTATTCATCAGATTTCCTGTCTATATGCTCATCAACAAAATGGCTCTACTAGACGCAAGCACTGCCATATAGTTAAAACGGGGTTAACTCTGCTAGCACAAGCTTCCATGCTTCTTAAGTTTTGGGATGAGGCATTCCTCACTGCTACCTTTCTCATTAATCGTATGCCTAGCAAAGTAATAGACAATCAAACTCCTCGTGAACGTTTGTTTCACCAATAACCTGATTACTCTACTCTCCGTATGTTTGGTTGTGCTTGCTGGCCCAACCTATGCCCTTACAATAATATAAAACTCCAATATCGATCCAAGCAATGTGTGTTCCTTGGTTATAGTCACATGCACAAAGGATTTAAGTGCCTTGATATTGTTGTAGGACGAGTTTACATCTCTAGGGATGTCATTTTTTATGAAACTATCTATCCCTTTGCCAATCTTCATTCCAATACTGGCGCCTGCCTTTGCTCTGAGATATCTCTTCTTCCTGATCATCTTCTTCCTTCCAATGGTCATGGGGATGCAATAAATTATGATTCTTCATGTGCTAACCCTACTAATGTGTCTGTGGAAGAAGATTTGCCTCTAGGAATTTTATTTGGCGCTGCAAATCCAGTCCAAAACGGTGGTGGTTCATGTTTTCCAGCCTCCGTGATGCGGCGGCGCGGCGGCAAGATTCCTTGTTTGGATCGCTTTCGGATCCTGTGTCGGATCCTCCTGGCATTGTGGCTCCGCCTTCAGCCTCTCCATGGGTGCCACCCGGTGCTCCCTCGTCGTTACGCGGCGGTGGCGCTCCGAGGCGCGGGGGGACAGCGAACGTGTCGGCCTCGACGAGTGCAGGCGGCACTCCTACACTGCCTAGATCTCCTATGCCATCATCGTCGGCTGGGGGAGCCGGATCTTCTACACCACCTGGATCCTCTGCGCCGTCGCCAGCAGCGACTGCTGTTCCACCGTCGCCACCACCAGAGCGACCTCAAACTCGTTTGCATCATGGTATTCGTAAGCCTAAGACCTACACTGATGGGACAATCAGGTATGGTCATTTGTTGTTGCTTCTAAAGAGCCTACAAGCCTACATGATGCACTCTCTAATCCTCATTGGAAAAATGCTATGGATCATGAGTATTCTGCCTTGATGAAAAACAAAACGTGACATCTTGTTCCTCCTCGGCAAGGGCAAAATGTTATAGATTGTAAATGGGTCTACAAGGTCAAAAGGAAACCTGATGGCACTATAGATAGATATAAGGCACGACTAGTTGCTAAAGGGTTTAAGCAAAGATATGTGATTGATTATGAGGATACTTTTAGTCCAGTAGTTAAGGCTGCTACAATTCGTCTTGTCTTGTCTCTAGCAGTGTCACAAGGCTGGTATCTTCATCGATTAGATGTTCATAATGCCTTCTTGCATGGTATACTTGAGGAGGATGTCTTTATGCGTACCTCACTATTTATGCAAGCTTGATAAGGCATTGTATGGTCTCAAACAAGCTCCTCGTGCGTGGTATGCACGGTTGAGTCAGAAGCTACAACTACTCGGCTTTATTCCATCTAAAGCTGATACATCTTTATTTTTCTACAAGTCGGTAGATATACAATTTATATGTTGGTATATGTTGATGACATAATCATTGCTAGCTCCTCACAAGAAGCAGGGACAACACTTCTTCGTGATCTTGAGAAGGACTTTGCTATTAAAGATCTTGGTGAGTTACATTATTTTCTAGGCATTGAAGTTAAGAAGGCACATGGAGAACTCCTCACACAAGAGAGGTATGCTACTGATTTGTTGAAAAGAGTAAATATGAGTTCATGCAATTCAGTTAATACACCCCTGCCGGTGTCAGAAAAGCTATCTGTTACAAGTGGACACTTGCTAGGGCCTGAGGATTCTACCAGATATAGGAGTATAGTTGGTGCTCTACAATATTTAACATTGACTCACCCTGATATTTCCTTCGCAGTTAACAAAGTTTGTCAGTTTCTTCACTCTCCTACCACAGTACATTGGGAGGCCGTCAAACGCATCTTGAGATATTTGAAGGGCACTTTGGGTTTAGGACTACGGATCGGTAAGTCTAAAACCGTGTTGGTCAGTGCTTTCTCAGATGCCGATTGGGCGGGGTGTCCAGATGGTCGACGGTCTATAGGAGGGTTTGCTGTCTATTTAGGTGCCAATATGATCTCTTGGAGTGCAAGGAAACAAGCTACTATCTCTAGATCAAGTACAGAAGCTGAATACAAGTCCATGGCAAATGCTACAGCAGAAGTTATGTGTGTGCGAAAATTGCTTGATGAGAGTTGGGAGTTTCTCGTCCTATGGCTTCCTGTTTTTGGTGTGACAATATAGGTGCTACTTACCTATCAGCTAACCCAGTTTTCCATGCCAGGACTAAGCACATTGAAATTGATTTTCATTTTGTCAGAGAACACGTGGCTGCTAAGCAACTTGATATTTGATTCATCAACTCTAGAGATCAGATTGCAGACGGTTTTACTAAAGCGCTTCCGGTGCACAAACTGAAAAAATTTAGAAGCAATCTCATTCTCACTGATGAGTTGTGATTGAGGGAGGATGTTAAATGATGCAGTTCTTTGTGTTATGTGCTGTATTGGTTGTTACCGTGATGAAGGTTGTTAGCATATCTAGTGACTTGTATAGAAAGTAGATAAGGATGTAATCTGTTGTTCATTTCTTTGCTTGTAAGCCAAGATTGTAACGCCACGCTGGGGGCTATTCCTAGCCTATATAACACGAAGCCGTGAGCCTGAGAAGGCATCACGTTGCCCTAATCTTCTCAGTAATGATAAGTGGAAGCTACGTGTCATAGTCACAACTCAAGAAAAATTAGACTTGACTACCATCAAAACACCGATTTTCCATATATTGTCGACATTTTGGCATGATGATCACAAACCAAACAATATAATTTTGGATTAAAAAAACAATATAATTTTGTAACCCAATTTTGGCAGTATACCCATATCGGGCCATGAAAAAAACACGCCCTCGTCCTAAACGGATCACAAGTTCACGAGACAACGCTCACAAACTGCCCAAACAGCAAACGGGCTAGGAACTAGAAAAGGCCACAACATCGGGCCTTGGCCCACGAAGAGGGAGCCTGCCTAATAGACCTCACGTCGTCACGTAGTCACGTGCCCGCCCCCGCTTCAGCCCCACTCCTCGTCTCGTCGCCTACCCTTCCCAGTCCCAAGCCGCATTAGCGGACGCCATCTAACCCTAGCCACTGCGGCCCCGTCTCTTCCCTCGGCGGCGGCGGCATCGGCGTCAGCGAAGATGTCGGGCGGCTTCTTCCGGGTAAGTCACAGAGCTCGTTTCCCCGATCTACCTAGCGCGCGCTTCGTCTGGTCGCCGTTGTTCTCGTCGGATCTGTTACTGAGAGAGGCCGTGCCGTGTTTTTTTTTTTTTGCAGGGGACGTCCGCTGACCAGGACACGCGCTTCTCCAATAAGCAAGCCAAGCTACTCAAGACGCAGAAGTTCGCACCCGAGCTTGACCATCTGGTTAGTTCGTTCTTTCACTCGTACCCTTCGTTTCTCAATTATGCTATAATGAGCGCAGAATACTTTAGGGATATATAGCTGTTGTCTGCAAGGGCTTCCTCTGATTTGGTGATTTTGTGTTTGGGGTTGGTTATAGGTGGATATGTCAAAGGTCAAGATGGACGTGATGAAGCCCTGGATTGCCAAGCGGGTCACTGAGCTCCTTGGGTTCGAGGATGAGGTTCTCATCAACTTCATCTATGGCCTCCTCGAGGAGAAGGTATTTATTCAAGTCCAGCAATGTTGCTTGTTAATACTGTCCTTATTGAATTCTGCATGCATATTGCCTGGCAGGTATCAAATTTGATTGAATTTAGTTCTTTGAAATTGAAAAGCGGTAAGAAACCTGGTACACGTAGGGCATGCCGAGATAGGGCTGATTTAGTCTAATCAGGTTGGCTACTGTAGCTCAGAAACTACAGAGCAGCCATTTTGTGGTCTAGCTCAGGAATTAGAACTGAAATACGGCTTGGTATTATGTTTTAGTTAAGGAGTTAAATCAAACCTGAGAATCTTAAAAATCATGTTAAGATAATACTGTCGAATTTCTGGTCTCACGAAGTTCCAACTATGACTTAGTTGTCTTGTAGCCACACAATGCCCCACGTTGTGTCTTGAAACAGTTGCTCGTGCCTGATGACAAATCTATCTTTCTGTTGGGAGGTTGTGTATTTCTGACTGGTCTGGGAGTCCAATGTTGCTCAGCTGTAGAATTGGATTTTTGTTAATGTTATCTGACGTCAAGTGAAGGGCGGGCCTGGTGCAAGCGGTAGAGTCTTATCGCCTGTGACCGGAAGGTCCCGGGTTCGAGTCACGGTCTCCTCGCATTGCACAGGCGAGGGTAAGGCTTGCCACTAACACCCTTCCCCAGACCCCGCACAGAGCGGGAGCTCTCTGCACTGGGTACGCCCTTTTTTAATCTGACGTCAAGTAGATATAGTTGGATTGTTTCTTCAAATTTTTAACATTAATTTCCTGTATCAAAGATGGTAGCTGATGGCCATGAGGTGTGTTTATGCCTTTGTTTTTTTAATGGCAGGAAGCAGATGGAAAGAAGATTCAGATCCAGCTGACAGGGTTCATGGAGAAGAACACAGTGAAGTTCATGAAGGAGCTCTGGAGCCTCCTCCTCAGTGCACAGCAGAATGCCAGTGGGGTGCCTCAACAGTTTCTTGATGAAAAGGAGGCTGAGATACAGCAGAAAAAGGTTTGTTTCAATAAAAACATACTAGTTTACACTCACCATATGGCTGGTCCAACATTGAATATGCTATTCTTGACTAATTCAGATAATTATGATGGGAGTTTATGGCTTTTCGGTCCTTGTGCACTGTGTGACCAATAATGATAGTTCATTCATATGATAGGTTTTATATTTTTATGGACCATTTTTGTGTCAAAACTCTGTGGAGGAGTAGAACATTTTTTCTCCATTCCTTACATGTGATTGTAAAGACAATCAGTTAGCTTGTATTTAGTGTTTTACTGTTTTTTTTATTTTTTTTTGTTGTTTGGTGAAACCAGAACATTTTTCATACATCGTCGAGAAATGTTAGTTATATTTCATTTTAAGAAATGTGAAAGCCTTCTACCTAACGCAGGCAGAGGATGATAGGATTGCACAGGAGATCCAAAAGAAGCGAGAGAAAGAGGGAAGGGACTCCGAACTGGAAAAGAACAAAATTACGGTGAGATATCCCTTTCTGCCAAATTTTTGTATCATTGATTTTAGGTTATCAGTTATGTTGTGACACCTTGTGTTTCTGATGACATTCAGATAGCTTCTCCGATTATTTGGGTTCATATCGTTATTTACTTCAACTACTGTAGGATGGGGATGCTGGTAACTCCAGATCCTATGGTGATCCAGTTGGCTCTGCTTTAAATAGTACAAATTTCAATGCTGACGAAGAAAAAGACAATGATATCAAGCGCAGCTTAAGACCAAAGAACAGGTCCGTTATCAGTTTCCCATAGAACGTTGTAGGCTTTCACTATGACTTAGATGCATGCTTTACCTTGGATGCTATTGCTATGTGCCCATATTAAGGTGAACCAGATCCTTTTCTATCTGTATATTAACCTTTGTGTTATGAATATCTATTTTCCTTGAAATGCCCATCTGTGTGTTTTGCCTGTTGTCTTGTTCAGCTTATATCTGATTTATATGTAACAAACAGTCACCGCCAATAAATTTTTAGTCCACTTCTTTAAGTAAACCTTTTTAGGAATGCATCAGCAAATATTTTTAGAACAGTAAAATAGCAAATTGGTATTAAATAAACATACTCAATTAGAATGCCTGGATCTGGAATCTTTCTAATCTGTCATGATATTTTGGATAAAAAATGGTAAGTATCTCAATGATGTCTTCTTCTTGAGTAGCCTGATTACTAGGTGGTAGTCATCCTAGTTCTCCTTTTCTCTGTGGACCAGAAGTCCATACTAGATGACCAATCTTTATGACCTTTGGAAATTCTTCATCTTGAATCAGTGAATAATTGTGGGCGTTGGGCCCTGATTTCGCAAATTGTAAGGATGACACAAAAATGCTGCTTGTAGTTAAGGATATTCATATGCCAAATGCAGGATTCGTGCAGTCGGTTTACCAGTGTTAAGTATGAACTGGATTTCTATGACCTTATCATGGCGTTTGATTTGATTGATGTGTTACTTATAAGGTGGATATTTCTTATATCAGTATTCTAAAAAGATGCTGTATAATGATGTTTGTCCCTTTATTAAGTTCACGCCTTTTGTATTTAAAAAAAAATGAAAGTTGAGATATGTCAGCTTCAGTTCTACCGAAGTGTTCAACCTAATTATTCTGTGGAGAGTAAACAATTTTATATGCAATAAACAGAGGCAAGCTACTCATGGGAACCTTATAGATTCTTCTTTTCCAGGGGAAGTCGCAGATCCAGGAGCATATCTTTGTCGCCACGTGGTAGGCAAAGATCTATTTCTCCCAGAAATAATTCTCGTTCTCCTCCTAGGCGTTCCCGCTCTATTGATAGACACCGTAGGTCATCACGGCGTTCAACTTCACCTAGACGTTCTGTTTCTCCCCGAAGGCATTCTCCAAGAAGCACACCTTCAATTTCTAGAAGGAGATCACCTTACTCAAGGAGAGGGTCACCTTCCTTGTCAAGATATCCATCCCCATCTTCACGCCGGAGGTCTCCTCTTCGCAGAAAGTCACCATCATCTGGGCCACGAAGGTCACCTTCTCCTCGCCATCGTCGTTCACCAGCTCGTGCACCAAGGAGATCACCATCTCCTACAAGTCGAAGGTCTCCTGTTCGACGCAGATTCTCACCAGGTAGACGTCCATCTCCATCCCCAGCAAGGCGCAGGCCAAGGTCCCCATCTCCAGGAAAGCGTAGGCCAAGGTCTCCATCTCCAGGAAGGCGCAGGCCAAGGTCCCCATCTCCAGGAAGGCGCAGGCCACGGTCCCCATCACCAGGATGGCGCAGGCCACGGTCCCCATCACCAGGATGGCGCAGGCCACGGTCCCCGTCCCCAGGAAGGCGCAGGCCACGGTCCCCGTCCCCAGGAAGGCGCAGGCCACGGTCCCCGTCCCCAGGAAGGCGCAGGCCACGGTCCCCATCCCCAGGAAGCCGCAAACCATGGTCTCCATCTCCAATAAGACGTCGGTCCCCATCTCCAAAACGCCGGAGGAGATCACCAAGTTCACCGAAGACTCGTTCTGCAAATCGTCGTTCGTCTCCACAGGGAAGGAGGTAAGCTGTGGCCAGATTTCTTTTCCACCCGTCTGTGGAATCAGCCACCGATTGTGATATACCAATTCTTGCAGGAGTATCAGTCTGAACACTAGCAGGAGTCCTAATCGTTCTTGCAGGAGTTTAAGTAGAGACATCGAGAAAGAAACAAATGGCACCCCTTCCATGAAAGACAGAGGATTGCACCCAAGGTAATATGCATGGTTTTATTTAGAGTCAAGCTTCCCTTACGGCCAATATTACCTATGGAACGAAAAATAATATTGTAGATATGTTCTTTACCTGTATCCAGAAAACTATCAACTTACAACCTCTTTTTTTTTATCATAGGGGCCAAGAACAAAAATCAGATGATGATAATGATAGGGATGATGCAAGGATTGGTGGTCATAATTCCCCAGATTCTGAGCATAGATTGTCAAAATCCTTGAGGTCTCCTAACTATGAAGAAAGGAACTCCACACGTGATAGGTGTGTATTTCCACAATGTGTTGTACATGCTTTTGTCCATATTCTTTTCCCCACAGATTAGAGAACATATTTTTGATGCAGAGAGGCTCATATTCTATTTTGCAGCTCTTTCATGAACTCAGGCAAACCTATACCTAGTCAGGGCAGCACAGATACAAGTGGAGATGAGGAAGGCAGTCGTGCTAGGTTGGTGCCATATTTTCCTATATTGCACTTGCAAACTTTTATAGCATTTCTGAATATATTGTTTCTCTTTTGTTGTTTGTTTGTTGTTTCAGAGAGAATACCCGGAAAGCAAATTCAGCTCGTAGGAAAACAAAGGATTTCTCGGCAGGTCTGCAACTTAAGAAAATCGGTGCTGGTGACTCAAGCCCTAGAGAAAAATCTCCATTCAGTTTACGACAGAGGTTGGATTCATTTTCTTAAACGCTTTTAGTTTTTGAGACAAAATTGGATGGTTGCTAGATTTGAATGCGCTCCTTGCCCACTGGATAACACTACTTCCCTGCTACTGTACAGTACAGCACCTTCATGCGTTTTTTTTTCATTGAAAATTGAATTGAATACTAGTAGATAAATTTCAGATGAGGATGTATGCTTTGATATAGTTATTTTCAACCATTTCGAGTAGAAGGGCATTTGTCTGAAAAGTTTTATACTGACCAAGTAAACACCTATTATTTTGGTAGCGGTGGCAATTTTTATGGCTATATAATTCACTTAGTAACTATGATGATGTCAGTTATAATTTATGTGTAATCTAGTTGAACACATTTGCATCTCTATCAGAAAGCATCATCTTGCTGCAGCACAATGTGCATTCTCTCAGCAATTGTATGATATAGTTTTCTGTTCTCCAGTGGCAGGGGTGTCCCGAAGAAACACCCTGATCAACTGTCAGAATCATCAGAAGACGAGCTTGTTGGTAGAAGAACAAAGTGTCAAACTGATTCTCCTGAAGACCCTCGTGGGAAACAGCGTTCCCCTACTAGAATTGAAAATGATGAGTCAAAGGATGGTAGAAACAGTGAGCATGTCATGAGAGGTTTGTGTGATGAGTCTGATGATGCTATTGATGCAAAGAAATATTTATCTAAAGTCAATGAGGACTCCCACTCGGAAGATGGAAGTCCTTTGAAAAAAACTAAGAAAAGAACGTATGGTAATAGCCACATTGATTCTGGTAGTTCAGGGTCTGAAGAACCTGACAAACATAGATCCCACTCTGAGAAGCGAAGGCACAAGAAAGCTCATAAGCATAGGAAACAGTATGATGGTAGTTCTGAGTCTGATTCTGAGCCAGATGGCAAAGAGGCAAAGAGGAGAAGGAAGGAAGAGAAGAGGCTAAGAAAAGAGGAAAGACGTCGAAGACGTGAAGAGCGACACCGCAGAAGGGCGGAACGCCATGCCAGCAAACAAAAATTAAAGAACACTGATACTGCTACTGTGCCTTCAGACTCTGAGAAGGATCGGGATTCTGATTCAGATGTTGCTGTTAGGAAAAGAGGTTCTCATGCTGGCAGAGAAGAGTCTGATCAGAAGAAACTAGAAATTGAACTTCGTGAGAAGGCCCTTGAATCTCTTAGAGCAAAGAAAGCCATCAACAACTAGTCTGAGAAATTCCTTGCGACACATTTGAATTTTTATTTTCAAGAGTTTATCTCAATGTTATGGAAGTGTGCTTATATGATACCTATTTAATGTTCTGTGTGTTTACGTGGCAGTTGATCTGAGGATTCCTGAGCTGTTTCCTTGATGCAGCTGCATTCAGGCTTAGCAACCAGTTATCTGGTAATGTTTGCTTCTACAGATTTGTACGAACCATAACCCTGAAAAGGATATGTTTATGTTATGTGTGCATTTGTTTCCCTTTTTTTCATTAGTGTGAACTTATATTCTGAAAAGTTTCTTTACTAGTGTATGATGTTGTGTTGTCGTGCACGCTGTTAAAATATAACCTTGCACAATTATCTTTACACCTACTCATTTATTGGAAAAGTAACAACAATTAAGACCCAGTACTGAATTTGAATGTGGGCATAGTTGCCATGCGCTTGCTGTGCAATGGTACCTGCGTATTTAATTTTTCCACTTTTGTGGACACTTTGCTGCTGTATACTGTGTCACTTTGTTGATTTGAATTTGGGTTATTGGCAGATTAGCACCATGTGCACAAGCTTTTTATGTTCTTCAGGATGATATGATCAACGCCTCAACAAAAAAAGTTGGTAACATATTGATTGGAAAATCTGCTAAAGCATTCCTTCTTACCAGTTGTTTGGTCAGTGCTGCTTAGTTTCAGGTTTGTGCAGCAGTCAATATATCTGATTACGAGGTTCTTATCAGCAAAATATTCCAAGCAGTTAATAATTTGCAATGCCTAGGGTGCTAGACTGCTAGTCGTCATTATTTTTCAGTAACTTATTTCTAATGTTGACTGAAGAAAAAGAGACCCTGTGCCACATTCTTTCACACATATTGAATCAGCAAACCAGCTGGTGATTTGAGTTACAATTAGTATTTACAGAAATCATCTTCCACCTAAGATGAAATGCTACAGTTTGTAACATAAGAGGATTTTAATGGGCTCTAGGTTTAGTCCACAAACTTAGGCTATACTTGCTGTTTCAATGATACTCTAACCAGTGTTGAGAAGGAAAAGAAACAGTGGGAATTCCCTGTTCTCCTTGGGTCAGTGTCCTGTGTTGAATTAGGTTACGCATGCAATTTTTATTGATTTTGGTAATTCTGTGTTCTTATTTGTTCTAGTAATTGTATACCCAATTGAGATAATTTGAAATATCCCAAAGTGAGAATAAATATGACCTCATAGGAGCAGCCGCCAGGCCTGCCGAAAATTTTCTAATTTGGTGTGAAATGACAAATTGTAAGTTGTCACACATGTTTGACGACAATGCCGCTAGCACGGTGGTGGTTTCATAGCGTGTCATGAGAACCGGGCAAAGGGATAGTTGAGCAACTCAAGCGAATTGCTCTACCTGACTAATAAAGATAGAAGGGAGAAGGTTGTGAAGGTGGCCTCGGTATCCACACATCCGGTTGGAATACCGACCTGAATTTTTACAATTGTAGGCTAGTCCTGGAGAGCCTGTTAAGGGCGCTAGCTCTAGCTCATACCCCGGGGTGATCATCACCACCTGCACCTCACATCTCAGCACAGTGGAGCTGGTCTTGGAGAGCCTGTTAAGGGCGCTAACTCTAGCTCATAACCCAGGGTGATCATCACCACCTGCACCTCACATCTCAGCATTGGAACGTGTAACTCGCATGCTGTCCAAGTCCTCGCCCTACCACCTTGGAATGTTTCATCTCCAGTGTTCCTCAGTAATGTTATCGTACCGTCTATTTCTGGCATGGAACCAGCGTAATTGTCCATATAGTGCAAGCATCTTCCCACAGTACTCGAAAGCCTTTTGTACACCAAGCATTAGTGCTGAAAGTCTACCAGCTCCTGTCTTCGGGGGTTTCTCATGAGCGAGTGGGAGTTTTCAATTCTGGATCAACAAGGCCAAGTAGCCATTGCCCGTCTCAAGAGATTATACAAGTGCTTCAATTTGCTTTAAACCTACATTCCCTACAGAAGCACTCCGACTACAGAGCAATCAATAAAACGGGTGTGCGACAGAATGAATATAGGTTGTTTTTGAAGGTTTCTAAGCAAAGGATTTCGAGGAACTACATCTGAAGCTTGTGCTGATGACCTGATGTTGAGCCCTTATCTATTCAGAAGATGTCTATCGAAATTTTGAATGTCACTGCATATTCTATTTCGATGGATAATGCAAAACTGAGTTGAATAAGTAAGGTCGATTGATGACATAAATTGGATGCTAATGCACTTCTTTTCTATATAACTGAGTTGGATGCTTTCACTTGCTCATTGTGTCTGGGTCACTTCATCCTTGATGTTGGCTCGTAAGTGTGACGTGCGCTTGTTCCCTTCGCTATGATGTTTGGGATGTAGCATGCTACTGACATGCTTTACACTGTGTCTTGCATAGACTTGCGTATCTAAGTAATTTTGAGGTGCTGTGACCTTATCTTGGGTTGTGTGGACAAAATATTTAGTTGCTTTGGTTGGTTGTGGACAATCTGCTTCTGATTGCTATTTTTTGTTACCTATAAATTCAGTTTATGGGGCAAAAGAATTATTTGATGAGACACTGTAAATTTCTGGCGTGCTGTCACGTTAACTCACTGGAGGGTAATTGGAACTTAGTTCCCACTAGTCGCCAGTGGGCCAACAGTAGCGACCAGTGGAATCTAAGTTCAAATGACAAATTGGTTTAAATGCAGAGGCTAAAGTTTAGGGTGTTATATCGGGGTGTCACGTGAAAGTGTTCTGATAGTAATAATAAAATAAATTACATAAATTCTTGGTACTCCGTTAGACGAATTATTAAGTCTAATTAATCTATCATTAGCATATGTGTACTGGTGCTTTATTGTAGCACCACATTGTTATATCATGGACTAATTAGGTTTAAAATTTTTGTCTCGAAATTAGTTGTAATCTGTGTAATTAGTTATTTTTTTAGTTTATATTTAATACTACATCTGACTAAACTTTAGAGGAGGAACTAAACAAGACCAAAGTAAAGTATGTCTGCTGCACATGGCTTCGCATGAGATTGCTCCTTTAGAAAATGATTCTTTACATTGAGTTTAAGTTAATAGTGCAATCCTATGCAGAATCCAACTTCTTTTTTTAAGTACAGTGTTCCAATTTATCTGTATGACCAGTTTCTATGTATTTACATTATACATCACTTTATGGATGCCAAATGTTTCCCTTCAACGGTTCAACCTATTTATTTGCCCATTTACCAAAGGTGTATTCGTGCATGGTCGTCCTTCTCAAATTCTTGTTTGGTCCTTGTCAAAGTTGTTTTTGTTCTTGTTTGGTCCTTGTCAAAGTTACATGTGTTTTTCATTGACTCGCAATGGTAACAATGAAGTAAGCGGGATTTGGTAGTTTATATTAAGTCTCACATTTCAGCAGATCTTAGTATATACCTTTGGACATTCCTCTTTTAATGCGCAAGACTGTTGTAACTGGTGCTGTTTGTATGGCTATGTCAAAGCTTGTATGGCTTTTGTGATCTCAACGTAACACTAGACTGTTTTTGCATATGACTAGCATGGTCGGAGTCGTTTAGTTTGCATTGTCTTTTGGCGCGCTGGATTAGGCCGGGTCATTAAACTAAAGCCATCGAGTTTACTTCATATGCGTGGACGCAGACCATGTATGGTTTTTTTATCTATTTAAAAATGTGTTTTTTGGTTCTTCTCCCTTGGTGTTTCCACTTCTGTCGATACGTATGTATTCGTTTAAATCCACGTGTGTTGAATTGGATTGGAGGTTAATTAAAGTGGATACATGTGCATCTAAATAAGGCATAGATATGACTTTAGTTTTTCATGAAGCAAAAAGGTGAGGAGTGTCACGTGGATAGGCTCGGTGTTAGTTAGTGAAGCGTGACGATCTGTACGCGACGCGATCTCATTTCGTTCGTGCATTTTGATGTGTTGTTTCCGAGATGTCAGTATAATCGCAGAGGCTTTGCTTTCTCTATATGCCCGTGTGCCATGGCTTCGCCATTGTATCATTAAAACCGCTCTTCGTCATTGCAAATCTACAGTTGCGCACTTGATCCACTTGCCGTTCCAATTCCAACAGATGGATTAGTACCGGTGCTTTGCTCTTTGCTTTCCATTGTCCTTGTACTGCACCGGTGTCAACACGCTTGCGCTCTCTCCGTCGCCGCCGGCGCACCACACAGCCCTCGCCAAAGTCCCAGCTCCGCCCGCAGTTCCCAGACGCGGGCTCGGTCCTCGGTCATGGACTCATGGCTCCTGTGTCGCGCGATGCAAGTGGCGCTTCTTGCAGTCGGAGAGCTCGCTAGAGCCGCACGTGCCGCGTCATGCCGTGCTATGCACGGCCACGCTCTTCTGCAGTACGGCAAATTGGTTGGACTTTTTTTTCCTTTTCGGATCATCATGCACTGTTTCGGAAGTGATAGCGGGTTGGGCGGAGCAGCGGCACGGTGCAGATGCATGCACCGGGACAGCAAGTCGCACTCGCATGGGATGGAACCGGGCTAATCGCTCTCACAGTGCCTGGGACGTCGACCCATCATCATCCCGGCGTAAGCTGTTCAGAACCGTGAACCGAACGTCGCGAGCAACTCGCCCGCGGACCGGCAGACGCCTGGCTCGGTCACTATTCATTCCTGACTGCATTGACACGGTCACACGGACCCGAACCGTGTGCGCGTCGCATGGGTCGAATTTTCTTCTGATTACGAGATTATTTGCGTGCGTTCCCTTCCCTGCCAAAGAGAAACAGTCCGGCGTGGGGAGGGGGAGGTTGGGCTGTGCCTGTGCGCGGCCATGCTATGCCGACCCCGCGCGCGTCGCGTCCCCTCCCCGTGCCAGAACTGCCAGAGCGCCCTACGGCAGGTGGGCGACACGCGCGGTGCCAGGCACGTGGCTCCGTCCCCTCGCCCCGCTAGGTGCTAGCCAAAGCCAACGGTCGGCTCGGAACGGCACAAGGCGGCCCCGCGCCTCGGTCACTGATGACGCCTGTGCAGCAGTCGCGCACCTTCTCCTCCGTGGGTCGCAGAATCGCAACGGCAGCCGGCACTCCGGCAGCGGCAGGGGCGTGCCGCGTACGCTAGTCGTTGATCCATGGAGACTGGAGGCGTGCGTCGCGCAGCGCAGCCGCAGCGGTGGTCTTGGGGGTGAAGTTGGCGATGTCAAATCGGTAGAAATGTCAAGCCTAATTCGGGGGCGATCGAGTCGAGCCGGGGAGGGAGAGGGTTTGTTTAGGTGTGTTTAGTTCGCGAAATTTGGAATTTGGGCTACCGTAGTACTTTCGTTTTTATTTGGCAATTATTGTTCAATCATAGACTAATTAGGCTCAAAACGTTCGTCTCGCGATTTCCAACCAAATTGTACAATTAGTTTTTTTCGTCTATATTTAATGCTCCATACACGTATTATAAGATTTGATGTGATGACTATTTTAACACTTTTTGAGAAAGTTTTTGAACTAAACACAGACTTACTTCCTCAACGGGCTAGGCAAAGCGGGACGCGCGCACAGTCGTGGAGGGCCCCGGCGGCGCGGCCGCCGTGCGGAACAACGTCTGGGGTCCGATGTGAATGCCAGCACTGCAATGGCCCAACCACCTCTAGCTGTTTCCTTGTCAACAAGACGGGACAGGCATCGCCAACTTGGATCACACTTCGGAAATCAAATCAGACACATCGATCGCCCATCCATTCGGAGTACCATGCCAGAGTCACACCCACCCCTACCACCCTTTGGAGCACAAGAGAGCTGAGGTGAGGTGAGTGAGGGAGCAAGAGTTGGGTAAACGGGACATGCCTTCATCACCCCTCCACGAAACCACACACAGCACTAGCAGCAGCAACCAGCAACCAGCTTCGAAACGAAGGTTGGTTCCCACCGTGTGTGTGTCTGTCTAGTTTAGCGTGAGACGCCGTGAGAGCGTGAGGAGACGGTGGATGGACATATATGGCATGTTCTCCGAGCATCCAAAGATGGGCGAAGAACAGGAGCGATCCGATCCCTTTCGTCTCTTGTGGGTGAGTTTCCAACATGTACCAGGCAGCAGGCAGGGACACGTGCACCCCACACACACACCCATCACTTCATTTCGTTTCGTTTCACCTCGCCCGGCCCCGCCTAGTGTCCGGTGGGGGCCAGGGCCACAGTGCCGCCGTGCTCCGGCCTTTAGCTTTTTCGTCTCAGAATTTTGACTAGCTAAAAAATATTGTTCTGACTAAATTATTGTGAAAGAAAAATAATATTCCAGTTAAAAAAAAATCAAACAAGTCAAATATGGATAAGCCGAACGGGCAAAGTCCATCGGTGCTGACAACAGGTAAGGTAAATCCAGCTAGCTAGCTGCTGCTGCTCCGTGATGAGATTATAGCATTTCTTCCTGTCCGGGCCGAGTGAGCTGATTTGGGGCTGTTTAGTTCCCCTCTAAAACATCAAATTTTTCAAGATTTCTCGTCACATCGAATCTTTGACACGTGCATGAAGCATTAAATATAAATAAAAAATAAAACTAATTACACAATTTAGACGAAATCCACTAGACGAATTTTTAAGCATAATTAGACTATGATTGGACACTAATTACCTAATAACAACGAAAACGCTACCGTAACGTTTTGCCAAAAAATTTGGCAACTAAACTGGGCCTTGGGAAAAGGGGCAAGGAACGAATGGGGCGAGCAGAGCAGTAGTGGGGGGAAGAAGAAGCTCTTGACGGGACGGTGCTTTTCTTGGGGGCAGACAAGAATGCAACGTTTGATTCGGAGCGGCTGGAATTTTGCTGACCCGCGAATTTCGGTCATGTTTTCAGACTGTGCTGGGAGTATCACAAAAATGGTAAATTGAGTTGTACTACAGCACTGTTGATCGCTGTACTTATTTCATAACACTAGGCCAATTCTTTTGCATACTGCGCCTGCCAGTAGTTTTTTGTTCTCCAGGTTCTTCTCGTACCCATATATTCAATCAAAACAACACGGGTTGGATGACTGTGCATGTCTTACATAAAGAATTGGAGTACCCATACATGGGGCGATGGGTTTCTGACACTTATTTCGTTTGTATATGCTCCCTTCTTTTTCCACCCCTCCATTCCTTGTTAGCAGTGATGTGGTATGTCAATCCCATATTTATCACCACATTTGATGAATAATCCCTGCCCTAACCTTCACCGCATCTACCCAACACATGCAACTCGATCGACTCGTCCTATGAAATTTCTCTACCACTGGTTGGACAATCACATATATAGATATATACCACTTGTGTAGATGGCTTTAACACATGTCAAAAAAATATCAAGCGCCTATGTTGACGGCGAAGGACACACCAGGGTGTGAAAAATAGAACCATAGAGGTAACAAGGCAAATACTCCCTCCAATAATTCATATATAACGTCAGGACACAGCTAAATTAGTGCAAATTTGTACTAGTTTTACTTGTGCTAATGTCATGTATATTAATGACCAGAGAGTATATATGAAATGGATGTATCATCGGCGAGAAGGTAGATTGATCTAAGAAATCAAAATGGAGCGTCAAGATAAGCAGATATCCTCACAGTAAAGTTGAAATCCATGAATTCTTCATTGAAATGATCATAATCATACTTAAGAAAAAAAGAAATATAATGAAATATGAGAAACCAACAAAAAACATATAATGGGGTCATCAGTTCATGACAATATGACACTTAATTTCTCGTAGGATATATGGATCCGTTTGGATCAGCTGAATTTTTTATAAGATGCAATAGTTGGAGCTAAATAGCTTTTTTATAAGCCGAGTAGTTGAATAGTTTAATTTGAGCTATAAGGTAGGCGCGCTATAAGCTAACTGGACTATTTGGATCAACATATTTTTTTAGTAGTTAGCAACTTATTTTAATAAAGTAAAATCAAGCATAGCAGAACAAAAGAACAAAGCTTTTCTTTTGATGAAAAGAATGAAGATTGACTTATGGAACTGATTCGCTTACCTCGTTAATGCAATGCTAACTGCATATAGATTGACATGTAAGTAAACATTGACCGATTCCAATATACGCAAATAGGAATTGTACATTGATTCCACAAGCTCCAAATAGAAGAGAGCTAGAAGAAATGGGAAAAGATCACACATGCATGCCATGGCACATTAATTAACAGCGCGGGTAGTCGAGCTACTGTAACAACAAGAGTACTAGCTAATACCTAGGGAAGAAGTGGAAATCCCTAACTAGCAAGGAAGGTAGAGAGCGATATACGGCGGTCCGCGGTCGGCCGGTGCAGGTGCAGGTGCAGGTGCATCTAGCGCTAGCTAGAACGACGTCGGCGGTGGCCGCGTCACAGCCGCGTGCCCCCACTGGCCGAACATGTCGTGCGGCGGCGTCTGCGGGACGGCGTACATGGACGACGGCGGCACGACGGGGCCCCCGCTGCTCTGCTGCTGCTCCAGCTGCTGCGCGGTGGCGGCGCCCTCGGGCGACCCGGACAGCACGGCGCCCTCCTCGGCGTCCTGGTCCAGCGGCAGCCTCTCGTAGGTGGCGTTGCCGAACGTGGCGGCGATCACCATGACCGGGCCGGACGCGATGAGCTCCCCCATGACGCTCCCGCCCACCACCTGCCCCTGCCCTCCCGCCAGGTACACGGCGAGCCCCGTGGCCCCCAGCGGCGCCGGCGCCGGGAGGAAAGCCCCGGACATGGACAGTATCTCGAACCGGCCGCGCAGCGCGACGGCCGCGGCGCCGGCCCCCGCGGGCTGCCGCAGCGTGACGTTGGTGACCGCGCCGGTCCCGCTGAGCACGGAGACGCCGCGCTGGCGGCGGCGCGAGAAGCCGGCGATGGCGTCCACGATGTCGGCGCCGCTGGCGATCTCCAGCACGTGGGAGCGCATCGCGTTGGGGCTCTCCCGCGTCACCACCACGGGCGGCTTCGGCTTGTTCTTGGACCCCGGGGGCCTCCCCCGCGGCCGGCGAGGACCTGCGCCTCCCGCCCCGGCACCGGCAGGCGGGGGCGACGCGTCGTCCTCGTCGTCGTTGTTGTTGCTGCTGTCTGGGCCCGCGCCGACGTGGGAGTGGGCGTAGCCGTGGTGGCCCTGCAGCGAGTGGCCGTCGAGGCTCCCCATCTCCTCGGCCGCCGCACTGCCGGCCGGCCACCGGTTTGCCAGCCCTACTATTTTCGTAGCCGTAATGAACACGACGCGGCGAGAGAATGAGGAGGCAGTAGTCTCTCTCTGAGCTACCTAGCCAGCAAATGGTCGGGACGAGACGAAACTATAGCCGGCTTCGCTCTCCGCGGCTATTTTATGCCTCTCTCTCTCTCTATAGATAGAATAGAATAGAATGCCCTTCTTCTCCTCGGGATTTTCCTATTCCTTCCCCTCGGAGAACCTTCTGGGGCCTACGGAGAATGGACACCTCCGACTCCTCCTACCCGAACCATGGGCGGATGTATATACAGCCTGTTCAGGAGGCCGTAAACGATCGTGGATTATTTACGGTTGGCTGATTTAATGTGAGAAAAAAATACTGTTCTCAACTGAAAATTTACGATCATTTACCAAGAAGCAAACAAGCTAATAGTCACTAGCGGTGCTGCCGCACCCACGAAAAAACAGAAAAAAGTGATTATAACTAAATTTTTACCGTATCGTATCCTCAAAATAAAAGTCTACGCAAGCACACCCCTTAGAATTTTCTCCAGCTCCGCCACTACATGGTACGGTCAGTGGATGCCCAGTGGCTACTGTTTATCGCAACTGTAGTGCCACATGTGTACGTTCGTACGCTAATTAAGCAGCCAGAGAGAGAAAAGAAGAGTGACGGTGAACGTTCGGGGAAGGTGGGGGTACGTACGTACGCCCATGGCTGGCGCGCGGCGGCATGGCTATTCTGAATTTCTGATGGCCGCCGCAGATGGGCCGGGGTTTGAAAACTGGTCGTGCAAATAGACGGGACATCACACACCATCCCTAGCCGGGAGCGCGAACATATGACCGTCAGACCGTCGTGTGCGCCCTCCTGTGGAGAGTGCCAAATGCACCGCGTGCGTCTTTGGATGCGACGACCGTTTCCATCAGGCGGCGCTGTACCCGTGCCCACTGCCCAGTGCGTTTGTAGTTGCCGACTTGCCGTTTCTTCAGGATCCCAACGGACGGACGGTAGGTGCGTGTGGGGTGGCGTACGTGTCTACTTGAGCACTTCATTTCGTATTGAGCTTATTCACCTCCTGTCCTGTAGCCTCGTCTCGTTATCCCACCCGGTTTCAGAAAGTCTCGAGAGAAAAACCCGGCTTCAAGAGCCTTGTCAATCCAATCTCCAAATTGCCGAGCATTTCATGGGGTTATGGAATGTTAGAAATAAAATTTCCATCGAGAAGAAATTCCCTGCAAACTCAGCAGATGTGATTTTCAATATTCTACACCAGTGATGGTGGCCACTGCTCAAGAAAGGGAATCGGCAGGAGCTGGATGAGAAGATGGAGGGCGATGAAGATTTGGGCAAGAGATTTTGCTAATTACATGAACGAAGAGTGCACTAAAAACTTAATGTAATCGAGCCTTCAATATAATGTCTCCTTCTTAGCTAGGTTGATTGGTTAAAACTCCATGCTGGGCTCGATCCATGCATGTGGGAGTTTGCTCTGTTCTGTTCGTTCCTGTAATATGTTGTAGGGGAATTGGTTTGCTCTTTTCTCTATGGAGCTTAAACTTGTAAGGTGGTAACTGGCAACCCCAACATGTTACGTTAGCTAACTATGCGTTCAATGTAAGGAATAATATATACTTTTTCAAAACAAAAAATAATGAGCATATTATCACGCATATATCGCTCGACAGAAGAGGCAAGGGGATTCGCTCGCCATCCAGGCTGTCTAGGCCCTCCCTCACAAGCACTTGGCCTTCCTGCTTGACGGCAATGCATTTGTTGATCTTTTTGGATGGCTCTTTGGGTGTGAGGAAGGCAGAACCGACGTGGCAGAAGGCGATGAATCCGTAGTCCCTGGACGGCCCTGTGGACTTGTAAGTGACGAATAAGGCCTCCTAGAGATCCCCATAGGCGGCGAAGATGGCACAAAGTGTCGTAGATGCCCTCCCACTAGAGCCCCCATATGTAAGAGCTTGTGAAGGATTGAATTGCTGTCAACAGTTATGTACATGGCGTCGAGCATGGCAGCGGCCACGATGTCCATGAGCTAGTTCAGGAGAGTGAGTCGAGGAGGCAGGGGACGTCATCGTAGATGAGGCCTAGGGCAGCAGCCCCACCGGCAGGAGAGGCGGTGATAGTGCCGTTCTCGTCAGGCTTGCGCTTCTTGGAGAAGGGATCCATGGGGGCAAGTGTAGGGAAGGGAAGGACTTGGGTTTGTGATGTAGCAGTGGCCGAGGACAGGGCGAGATGGGAGGACGCAAAGCGAGAGGAATCGGTGATGTTATATTGACCTTGCAAAAACATGATTTTTTTTTATTGTGACTGATGTCCTTCTGTAGGCGCCAATCAGTTGCAGTTGGCCCATGTCATGTGTCCTAGCTGGAGCAAGTCACGGTGGACAGTATCACAAAGAGGACCTAGGCCGCTAGACGACACGATGAGAGAAGGATAACCCTTGCAATCCAATCACAGTCGGTTATATAGTGCTGATGTGGCGACTTATAGGAATAAAAAAGAACCTAATTTAGAGGATATGTTGTAGATGTGTACCTATTTTGAATGTCTAAACAATCGGTTTGGAGGTTCGAATTAGAGTTGCTCTCAGTGATCAGTCGATAATCGCTCATCCGATCATCGCCAAACTACATGTACCACGTGTTATATTTGTGCAAGGACCACGACATTGAAGTTCGCAGTCCAATCTCTTTTAGATTGCATTGGACCACGAAGGCACGAACAGTTTGCATGCAATTGCATAGAACTCCCTGGCCCTGCTTCCTGATGAAAGGATAAGGCAAATAAAATAAAATAAATAACAATAATGAGCATATGGTAGGGACTCGCACAGGGCTCTGCCATACCGGTGTGCATGTCTCTGCATTCATGCTATCAGTATCAGGTTTCGCTAGCCCGGCCGCGCCACCGGTTCTTGTCGTGCTTTGTTTTTTTAATAAAGACCAGCCTTTAATAAAGACCAGCCATGATGTTGCTACAGGACATATGTGTGTTTTGTGGTTCGTTGGCACATGAATTTTCTAGTCATAGGATGAAGAATGGAACGTCCGATCTGTGCTGGTTGCTTTGTGTCTCTGTCGTGTGGGGTCTGGATGTCGGCGCCACTGTTTGATTTTTGGGAGTCGCGCCCGGATTTGTGTGTCTGTTCCCCTCTTTCCCCGTTCTCATTTCGTGTCGTCTTCCTCCTAGCGACTCCTTGTTCCCCTCTTTTGTTGATGGGGTTGGTCCCGACGGCCGGCGATTGTCTCGGCATCGCAGCGAGCCGCGCCCTCTCCGTCTCTGCGCGTCGCCTCCCTCTCGTCTGCCATTGCTCGAGTTCTGGAGGTATGTGAGTTCGTCGCTTTCTCCCTTGAGTTCGTCGTCGCTCTCGTCCTCCTTGCCCACTGACTGTAGATCTGTGTTCCTATGTTTCCTGAGGCCCAACGATGTGTGTGGGGCGTTGCGGCGGGACGGCGAGAGCGCGCGGGGGCGCGTTGCAGCGGCGGAACGGTGAGTGGTGCTGCGGCTGCGGGACGGCGAGAGCGCACGGGTTGAGCTGCAGCGGCATGACAGCGACAGCGCGCAAGGCGAGCTACAGCAGCGCGCGGGGTGAGCTGCAGCGTCGGGACGTCGAGAGCGCGCGGGGCGAGCTGCAGCGGCACGCAGGGTGAGCTGCAGCATCGAGACGGCGAGAGCGCGCGGGGCGAGCTGCAGCGGCGGTTTGTCTGGTTTCGACGAACTCTGCCGCCGTGTCAAAGGAACACCTGTAGTAGTAGCAGAGAAGCGGGCATGCATGCATTATTTCCTTTGATTTGTTCTGTCTTTCTATTCTATCATGTTCTTCCTCGTAGCAGGAAACACGTAGAGGCATATTTGATCTGTGGTTGTGGTTGTTGTAGTTGTAACTTGTAAGATCAATCAGTGAGGGCAGCTACTAAGCCATACGGAGAGCCTGCCAGTGCTTTTGGTCTTTTGTATGAGACTAGGAACAGTAGCTTGAGAAGCCAGGCTTTAGATGTAGGGGCAGCCGGGCAGCAGGGCAGGTGATGGCGTGCATCTGGAGTTCACTGAACATTTTGACTGGATGTTGAATTCAGTTTGTGATGAGAGTACTGAATGTTGCAACCTTTCACCTAGGCAGATATTGGTGTTTCCTAATGTTGTAGGAGCTAATATGCCTCTACCTGATGACATGTAGTACTGCAGGTTTGCATCCAACAATTCTGGCATAGATAGATAGAACCTATCGGCAAATAGGCTTAATAGTGGGAAAGGTAAAACGCATATGAAGACATTGACATGCTATATTCACTCTTTATGCAAAAGAAAGTTGTTCTTCTTGTATCTGTTATTGTCTACTAGGAGTTGATTAAATTCTCCTTGTATTATTTCGTGAATTAAGCTCTGATTCTGTAAATTTACAGAGGCTCTGATTCTGTAAATTTGTTTTCATTTCATAACTGAGTCTTGTCACTCCATTGCTAGGAGATGCTTGTGACTCCATTTTATAGGCAGAGGTGTTTTAATTTACAGTGTGTTGCCATGTATGTGTAATTAGAATAGGGGGTAAAATCACAAATATCTGTTGTAATCAAACTGATACTTGTATTTCAACTTTGGTATTAGAAGAATGGAGGTATTCCATATAGCTTCTTGATACTTGTTTACCAATATGGTCTCAGATTGTATTCTAGAGTCTGAAATGAGTGTAAGTGTATATAATCAGCTCTGTAATTAGGACATTTCTGAAATAGCATAGCTGTATGGCACTGAGATCCAACCTCATTCATCAATGTTATAAGTAGTTGATTGTGATACATTGAAAGCTACCAGCACCATATGGATAAGTATAAAGCTAGCTGCTATCATGCAAAGTTTTGGATTAGACTGTTGAATGCTTTATACTTAGAAGATCAATGTTTTACCTATTTTTTTGGCATTATCTTTGGAAATGAAAAATTTATAACCATCAGATTGTTAGGTA